AAACGGGACACCTTCCCGCCTTTAGTCGCCATCGTCAACGGTACTACATTGCCACCGGGAAGCCATCCCGCTATTCGCCGCCAAAATCGTAGTCGCCACGTCRCCAAACGGGACGCCATCCCGCTATTCACMGCTGACATTATAACGTTTATATTGCCAAAGTGCCAATCATATTTTCCGTAACATATTCCTTCAATCCGCCGTATTAAAACAATGGAGAACTCAACTAGAAAGAGTACGCGAATTCAACAACAAGATAGCCTTAGTAAGTCAGTTTCAGTTGAAAATCAAAGATTGGAAAACGATGATGTGGATAACGGATCCAATCATCAAGGTAGTGCGTCAGCTAACTCTAGCGCATCTACTAAAGTTACAGTAGAAAGTCAGCAAAAAATGCTCGTTGCCCTGCAAAAGCAGTTCAATGCTCTGAGTAACCAACTGCGAGGTACACAGGTAAAGTTGAAGGAAAGTGAACGTCAGTGTGAACTTCTGAAGTCCACGATACGCGTAGAGGACCGATCAAGGTCAAATTCCATTGCGACCTCTGTGSAGCCCCTTATAGATACCGCTATACAACCGATAGCAGTCTCAACGCAGACAACAACGAACCCGCAGAATAGTTCGAACACTTCTGTGGAGTTTACGTCAATGCGTACAGCCGCCACGCATACGTATATTCAGTGCCCATATGAAGGTACTACATCGCCGATCTTCACAGCCACCGCTTCTTCGATAGGTGCTATGCCTTCAACTTCACTACAGTCGCAGCCATTTGTTAACGTTACGCCAGACAGTTCATATCTGCTCACGCTACCGAGAAAAATTCAAGATTTGCCAGATTTCGACGGGCGCGCAGAGGACTGGCCTATGTTCGCCGCCGCCTTTGCACAGTCAACTGCATCATACAATTACTCGGACTTTGAAAACAATCAACGTCTTCAGAGATGCCTAAAGGGTGAGGCTAGAGAAACAGTGCACTCACTCCTAATCCATCCAGATAACGTTCCTGCCGTTATGGACACTCTTCGATTTCGATTCGGCCGTCCAGAATTACCTATCAAATGTCAGCTGCGCCTAGTACGGGAGATGCCATACATATCAGAATCCGCCATCGACAAAATKATTCCTTTCTCCGTCAAAGTAAGAAACCTAGCAGTGTTCCTACAATCAGTAAATGGTCAGCAGCACTTGTGTAACTGAACGTTATTGGAGGACCTTGTGGGAAAGCTACCCATTAGCAAAAAACTCGAGTGGGCAAAAACCTCATCGATGATACAGCCATATCCCACAATTAAAGATTTCAGTACCTGGCTTAGTGGAGTGGCCGATCTAATATGTACAGTACAAGATAGTGGGCGGACTCATTCGAGCGAACCAAAGCGCCGCGTTCTTCTTCAAACCGCAAACCACGCCAGAGAAATCCTATGTCCACTGTGCCATGTTGGACACCACGTCTTCGATTGTGAC